TTTTCGGGACCTCTTGGGCTGATATGCTCAGTATTCGCCGTGCAAGCATGGGGACTGGGGTGAGAACCCGCGTATGCAGACGGAGGACATCTGTCAAAACTCTCGACGACTGATTATCGAATAGCCTTCGGCACACCCCGCCACCGTGCCTGCGTTGGGTATTCGTCTTGAATAGAACACTGCCCGCGTGTCTTCCCTTTCTCCCGCCCCCTCCTCCTCTCCTCTTCTCTCCTGCCTCTCACCTCGCTCCTTCCTGTGTGCCAGCTTGCCTCCTACCTGGCCATCCCTGGGGGGCTGCGATCTGCGAAAGTATCGCCACTTTCGAGGGCTGCTATGGGTCCAGCGGATTGACGTCTTACGCAGACCACCAGGAGACCTCCCCATCCCTGTGGGGCTGCGATCTGTGAAACTGTCGCCACTTTCGAGGGCTGCTGGGGGGTGCAGTGGAGTGACGTCTCACCCAGACCACCAGGAGACCTCGCCATCCCTGGGGCGGGTTGGGGGGCTGCGATCTGACAAAGCCTCGCCGTCCTTGTGAGGCTGCGATCTGCGAAACCATCGCCACTTTCGAGGGCTGTTGGGGGATGCAGCGGAGTGGCGTCTTACGCAGACCACCAGGAGACCTCCCCATCCCCGTGGGGCTGCGATCTGCGAAACCGTCGCCACTTTCGAGGGCTGCTGGGTGGTCCCACGGAGTGACACTTACCCAGACCACCAGGAGACCTCGCCATCCTTGTGGGGCTGCGATCTGCCAACCTGTCGCCACTTTCGAGGGCTGCTATGGGTCCAGCGGAGTGACGTCAGAAGACCTCGCCATCCTTGTGGGGCTGCGATCTGCCAAGCTATCGCAACTTTCTAGGGCTGCTGGGGGATCCAGCGGAGTGGCGTCTCACCCAGACCACCAGGAGACCTCGCCATCCCTGTGGGGCTGCGATCTGCAACACTGTCGCCACTTTCGAGGGCTACTGGGGGGTGCAGCGGAGTGACGTCCCACCCAGACCACCAGGAGACCTCGCCGTCCTTGTGGGGCTGCGATCTGCGAAACCGTCGCCACTTCCGAGGGCTACTGGGGGGCCCAGCGGAGTGACGTCTGATTCATATTCAGATGAGACCTCTCGATTTTGAGGGTTCCAGAGGTGAGGTTGAGGATGATGAGGATGATGAGGATGATGATGATGATGATGATGACGATGCCGATGATGATGCTGCTGATGCTGATGCTGATGCTGATGATGATGATGCTGATGATGATGATGATGCTGATGCTGATGATGATGATGATGCTGATGATGCTGATGCTGATGCTGATGCTGATGATGATGAGGATGAGGATGAGGATGAGGATGAGGATGAGGAGGAGGAGGAGGAGGAGGAGGAGGAAGAGGAAGATGAGGAGGAGGAGGCAGAAAAGGAGGAACGGAAGACGATGTTGAGGAGGACGAGGAAGAGGAGGAGGAGGAGGAGGAGGAGGAGGAGGAGGAGAAGGACGAGGAGGAGAAGGAGGAGGAAGAGGAGGAAGAGGAGAAGGATGAGGAGGATGAGGAGAGGGATGATGATGATGATGCTGATGATGATGACGACGACGACGACGATGATGATGATGATGATGATGATGATGATGATGCTGATGATGATGATGATGATGATGCTGATGATGATGATGATGATGATGATGATGATGATGAGGAGGAGGAGGAGGAGGAGGAGGAGGAGAAGGAGGAGGAGGAGGAGCTGGAGGAGGAGGAGGAGGAGGAGGAGGAGGAGGAAGGGGAGGAGGAGGAGGAGGAACCGTAGGAGGAGGTCCGGCACGTGCTTCCGCGGCGGCGCTTGCGCGGTTCTTGCACTAACTGTAAGCAGGTTTAAGAATTTGTGCGAGCGCCGCGGCGACATGGCGCAGCATCTTAGCGTACTACCGACAAAAGCAACACTCTTTGGTCTCCTTCCGTCACAATCGTCGTGGTCTTCTGCCCCTTGCCACCTTTCCTCTGCTGCTGCCGCGCTGACGGTTCGGCCCCCCACGCGTCCTCCTGCCCTTTGTTCCTGCCCCATGTCCTCAAGCCTGGGCGCTCGCCCCTGGTCCTTCTGTTGTTGTCTTGTGAATCGCGCCGCGTGAGCGCATCCCACGTAGCTTGCACAACATAAAGAAGGCGCCTGCACTGTGAATCTCCCGGCAAGTTTGGGCCACGCGTGAGGAAACGAGCGAGAAACCACGCATTCAGACGGAGGGCATCTATCAAAACACCTGACGAATGATTATCGAAGACGCCTACGGGGAATCACCGCCGCCCCCTGCCTTTTTGGAAGCGCCTATGTGGCCGAACGTTGAGGCCAGACCTGCCAAGCTATCGGACCACGTGTTCCCCGAATCGGTTTGGAAAGCCTTCGGGGAACACGTGGGCATCTTGAAGGTCATCTTGGCCGTCTTGGAGGCCTCTTGGGCAAGCTTTGGGCGATCTTTGGGGCTTTTTGGGCCGTCTCGGGCCAGCTTCGAGCCAACTTCGGCCATCTTGGTGGGTTCCTGGCACGTCTGAAGCCGTCGGAAGCCGTTTGGGGGGCCTCTATGGGCCGACTTGGGGCCCGCTTGGAATGCTCCAGGGCCGTCTTGGAGGCCATCTTGGGCGTCTGGGAGGCCATCTTGGGCGTGTTGGAGGCCTCTTGGGCCCTCTTGGGGCCCTCTAGGGGCCATCTTGGAGGCCACTTGGGCCATCATGGGGCTCTCTTGGGGGCCTCGTGGGCGATCTTGGGGGCTTCTTGGGCCGTCTCGAGCCGTCGGAGAGCCGAAAAGGCGCAAATGCCAGAATCCTTCAAAAACCAAGGAAAAATCAATGATTTTGGCCTCTTCGGACTCTCCTGGAGGACCTCTTGGAGGCCTCTTGGGCCGTCTGGGAGGCCTCTGGGGGGCCTCTTGGGCCGTCTTGGGCCGTCTTGGACTCTCTTGGGCCGTTTTGGAGGCCGTCTTGGACCATCTCGGGCGGACTTGGAGGCCATCTTGGGCCATCTTCGCGATTTTTTGAGGATGTCCCGAGCGAAACGGCCGTTTTTTGGAGGATGTTTTCCAGTCGTTGAGCACCTTCCGGGTGGCCGGCGGGTTCTGCCGGAGCCCACTGGAGAGTTCTTTTGGAGAAAGAACCAAAACCAAAACCTGACAGCTCATCCAGCACGCCGTGCACCCCTGCAAGCAGGGGGCGGCGGATCGGATGGCCTTCGGCACATCCCGCCACCGTGCTTGGATGGCTGACGGGGTGTCGTGGGAGGCGTCCCGGGGGCGTCGTGGGTGCAGTTTTTGAACCTCTTGGGGGCCTCCTGGGGGCCTCCTCTTAGGGGCTTTGTTGCGGCCATCTTGTGGCTCCCTGGGGGCCTGTTGGGGGCTCCTTTTGGCATCCCGGAAGCGTCTTGGGGTGGATGACTCGAAATGTCCGTTCGGGTTTCTCCTCTGGGCTCCATCTTGGGGCTGTCTTCGGGCCCTCCTGGGCCGTCTTGGGGGCTTCCTGGGCCGTCTTGGGGCTCTTTTGAGTCGTCTTTGGGCCTTCTTGGGGGCCTCTTGGCCCATCTTGGGGCGATCTTCGCGGCCTCTAGGGCCGTCTACGGCATTGCGAACGCGGGTAAACACATTACCCCGCCAACTTTGAGAGGCTCCGAATTTCGAAATTGTTGCGATTTCCGTGGCTCCTGGGAGGCTCTGGGAGGCCCGGCGGAAGGGATCCGTCGCAAGTGTGCCGCCAGGGCGCCCCCCTCTCCCCCAGGCGACCGCGCACTGTGAGCCCGTGGACAGTGGAGCCCGCTGTCAAGTGGCCCTTTCCAACCGCCCCCCCTCCCGACCGCCCGCTCCGAGCCTGTCCGACAGTGGGGCCCCTTTGTCACACGGGCGTCCAGCCCCCCGCCCCGTGACGCGCCCGGCCCGCGCGCAGCGAATCCGTGGACAGTCGGGGCCCACCGTCAAATGGGCCCCCCGCGGCCTCCCCCTTTGATCCCGTTGACAGTGGGGAGCCACTGTCAATTGGGCCCCCCGGGCCCCCCCACGTGACGCGCCCGGCCCGCGCGCAGTGAATCCGTGGACGGTGGGGCCCACTGTCGAATGGGCCACCCGCGGCTCCCCCTTTTGATCCGTTGACAGTGGGGGGCCACTGCCAAATGGGCTCCCCAGGGCCACCCCCCCCACCCCTCTCCAAACCGACCGGGCCGGGCCTCCGGGGGAGGGGTACAGGGGACGCGGAACATCGTACACGCCGAGGGACCCCCAAGGGGTTGGTGGGTTATCCCTCTCCCATTCCGGATCACGCGCTAGAAGGATGCAGAGCACTTCGTTTTCAAAGAGGGATCTCGCCTAAATGGCGGACCCATGGGTGCTGGTCTGCCACGGGGGCGCTTCTTGTAGTGATAAGGACTTCTGGGAAGGGGGCTTGAGACGGGAGAGTGTATTGCAGCATCGCTTGTGCACCTTGGGCTGACTCTGGACCTCCTTCTCCTGCTTCTCCTCCTCCCGTCACCCTCCTCTATCTCCTCCTTCCTTCGCCCTCCTCTCATCTCCGCCCTCTCCCTCTTCCTTTCCCTTCCTCCTTTTCCTTCGAGGCATCCGTAAGACCTGCAACATTCCAGCTGGGAATTTCGGCGCGTGGGCCTGGTCGCGAATTTCCAGAGGCCTCCACCCCAAGCGCGAAGTGGGGTACAGTTCAAGTGGAGTCGGGGGGGGAGTGAGGCGTGAGGAATGAGGGGAAGGAGGAGGAGGAGGAGGAGGAGGAGGAGGAGGAGGAGGAGGAGGAGGAGGAGGAGGAGGAGAAGGACTCTGGGGTCCGCTCGAACCTTTGCTGTGCTCGTTTTTTTTGTTGCTGGAGACGATGTCTCGCCAGGTCCAGACTTTTCGCTAGACCCCCACCTGCGAGAGAACCTTTTCCTTCTCCTCCTCCTCCTCCGTCTCCTCCTCCTCCTCCGCTCCTCCTCCTCCTCCTTCCTTCTTCTCCTCCTCCTCCTCCTCCTCCTCCTCCTCCTCCTCCCTCCCCCTCCCCCTCCTTCCCCCCCTCCTCCTCCTGCTCCTCCTCCTACTCTTCCTCCTCCTCCTCCGTAGCCATTTTTGGCTTGCCTGGCCCGAGTGTTGCCTCAGCACCCTTGCCCGCCAGGGCGCCCAGACGCCCCTGGGCGCCCCGAGTGCTCATTGTAGTCACGCGTCCCTCCGAGGAGCCATGGTGCGGTCCTGCATCATGGCAGCCCTCGTGCTGGCATCGCCAGTGCTTGCGATGGATGCGTCTGTCAAGTCGTCGTTGACGTTTGACGCTGCAGCCGCGAAGAACCGTCCGGTGTCCAAAGTCGTCACTCTGCTGAAGGACATGCTCCACCAGTTGGAGAAAGAAAAGGAGACGGACGAGGAGATATGCGGCTGCCTGCGGCAAGCCCCGCCATCCGCGCCAGCGCAGCAGCGCAGCGTGAGGAAGGTTCAGTGACAGACGCACTGGAGCTTCTCGGGGGCCTCATAGGGGGCTTCTCGGGGGCCTTTCAGGTCTGTTTGGGAGGCCTTGGGCGGCCTGTAGCGGGGCCTCTGGGAGGCCTCTTGGGGGTCTCCTGGGCTTCTCGGGAGCGTGGTAGGGTCGTCACCTGGGGGCCTCTTGAGGGCATGCTGGGGGTCTTGGAGGAGATCCCTGTAGGAAAAGGCTGTCAAGGCCAGCTCGACTCCCCCCTCACGGGCCCCTCGCTGGGTTTTGTGTGGGGGGCATCTTGGGCCGTCGTGGGGGCATCGTGGGCCGTTCTGGGGCCCACTGGGGTCGTCTTGGGGCTGCTTGGGCCGTTTTGGAGCCCCACCTTGGGCCGTTTTGGAGCACCCCTCGGGCCGTCTTGGAGCACTCTTGGGACCTGTTGGGCTGCCTTGGAGCCCTCTCGGGACCTTGGTGGGCTTTCGGAAGCCACAACAGGCCAGTGTGTGTGTGTGTGTGTGTGTGTATGTGCGTCTGTATGTATGTATGCATGCATGCACGCATGCATGTATGTATATATGTATGCGTGTATGTATGTATTTACGTATGTATGCATGCATGCATGACTTTGTTTATGTAATGGCGTCTATATGCCTGCATGCATGCACGCATGTACTTCCTGCATGCATGCATGTTTGTATTACTGTATGTACGTATGCATGTGTGTATGCATACCTGCAGGTCGGCTGGTAGGTAGGTATGCGTGCATGTAGTTAGGTAGGTCGGTAACCATGTAGGTAAGTATGCATGCATGCATGCATGCATGTATATATGAACGCACACTTGTATGTGTGTATGCATGCATGTGTATACGTATGTATGTACGTATGTCTGTATGTGTGCATGTACGTGTGTACGTTTGTATGCTTATACAACAATATATAAGTACATATGGCTGTGTGGCTGTCTGTCTATAGGTCTGTCTGCCTGTCTGTGTCTCTGCATGCATGCATGCATGTATGTATGTATGTTTGTATGTATGAATGTAGGTATGTATACATGCGTGCATACATGCATGTATGAATGCATGTACGCACAGATACATGCATGCATATATGCATGCATGCATGTATGCATGTGCGCATGCATGTATGCATATATGCATGCATGTATCTATGTATGCATGCATGCATATATGTATGTATGTATGCATGCATGTATGTATGTATGTAAGCATGGACGTATGTAAGGTATGCATGTATGTATGTATGTATGATGTATGTCTGTATGTAGGTATGTATGTATGTATGTATGTATGTATGTACATCTGTACGTATGTATGTATGTATGTATGTATGTATGTATGCAGGCATGCATGTATGTATGTAGGTAGGTAGGTCGGTAGTTAGGTATGTATGCCTGTCTGTCTGCCTGTCTGTATGTATGTTTTTGTGTAGGTATCTATGTATATATATATATATATCTGTATGTATGCGTGCATCCTGTACATACATGTATATTTGTATAACTGCACGCATGCATGCATGCATGCATGTATGTAGATCGGTATATGTGTGGACCTGTCTATATATACGTATGTATGCATGCATGTATGCATGTATGCCATGCCTGTAATGCATATACGCATGCATGCATGTATGCATATGTGCATGTATGTATGTATGCATGCATGCATATATGTATGGATGTATGTATGTATGGATGGATGAGGATGATTGTATATATATATGGGTACCCCCCAAGGACCCTGCAGGGTTTCTCGCCGTTCCATTTTTTCGTGTGCACCGCTGTCGAGATTGAACCTAGTCAGCGCTAGCGCCCACACTGTACAATGGGGGCTTGCATGCCGCATCAGTGAAAACAATCGGAAGCGAAACGGCGCGTGCGACTCGTCGCGGGCACGGGCAAGGTAGAACTCATGTCGCGCTAGCACTCGCACTGCACAAGGGTGCCCGCGCGATACACGATGGGAGCGTCAGTTGAAACGAAACGACACATACGATCCGCCGTGGGCATCGGCAAGCGCTTTCATCGCCACTGCCATCGAACTTCCTGAGTTGACATAGTGGGCATACTCAGCAAGGTCGGGCAGTGGCATCAGCTGCTCTTCCGCACAAGGTGCACCGTGCTGATCTGCAGCGCCAACTGCATCGCTGGCCACTGCGTTGAGCACGGGCATCTTGCTATAGCGAGCCCGCAACAGCATCTTCATGCGAGAGTTCTCGCTCTCAATGTCGTTGCTGTGGGAGCCCGTGGATCGATCCCGCCACCCTGTGCAATGGTCCACAGGCGGAGCGTAGCGCGGTTGTCTGGAACCGACCCCCCATTGATATGACATGGTGAAAACACTGTAAAATCCAATTTTCCATTTTTTCCAATTCTCTGGGTACGAACCCTCGCTGATGCGACAAATGAGAATGTTCCAATTCTCGAACCCTCGTTGATGCGGCAGAGAGAAAACGCTGTAAAATCCAATTTTCCAATTTTTCCAATTCTCAGGCGCCGAACCT